ATTCTCAACTTCCTATGGAATAACAAAAAACTGAGAATTGCTAAAACAATCCTCTACAATAAAAGATCTTCTGGAGGTATCTCCATCCCTGATCTCAAGCTGTACTATAGAGCAACAGTTATAAAAACTGCATGGTACTGGCACAGAAACAGAATGGTGGATCAATGGAAACGAACAGAAGACCCAGAAATAAACCCACACACTTATGGACAACTGATTTTTTACAAAGATGCCAAAACCATTCAATGGAAAAAAGATAGCATCTTCAACAAATGGTGCTGGTCCAACTGGATGTCTACATGTAGAAAAATGAAAATAGATCCATATTTATCACCCTGCACAAAACTGAAGTTCAAGTAGATCAAAGACCTCAACATAAAACCAGACACATTAAATCGGCTAGAAAAAAAAGTGGGGAATACCCTAGAACTCATTGGTACAGGAGAAAACTTCCTGAACAGAACACCAACAGCACAGGCTCTAAGAGCAACAACCAATAAATGGGACCTCATGAAACTGAAAAGCTTCTGTAAAGCAAAGGACACTGTCATCAAAACAAAGCAACTGCCTACATATTGGGAAAGAATCTTCACCAACCCTTTATCTGACAGAGGACTCATATCCAGTATATATAAAGAACTAAAGAAGCTGAAAAGCAGCAAACCAAGTAATCCACTTAAAAAATGGGGAACAGAGCTAAACAGAGAATTCTCTGTAGAGGAATATTGAATGGCAGAGAAGCACTTAAAGAAATGCTCAACCTCATTAGCCATTAGGGAAATGCAAATCAAAACAACCCTGAGATTTCACCTTATACCCATCAGAATGGCCAAGATGAAAAACTCAAGGGACAACACATGCTGGAGAGGTTGTGGAGAAAGGGGAACTCTTCTCCACTGCTGGTGGGAATGTAAACTGGTACAACCACTCTGGAAATCAATCTGGCCCTTTCTCAGACAAGTAGGAATAGCCCTTCCTCAAGATCCAGCCATACCACTCCTAGGCATATATCCAAAAGAGGTGTAAGTACACAAAAAGGACATTTGCTCAACCATGTTTGTAGCAGCTTTATTTGTAATAGCCAAAAGCTGGAAACAACCCAGATGCCCCTCAACTGAAGAATGGATGCAGAAATTGTGGTACATCTATACAATGGAGTATTACTCAGCAATGAAAAATAAAGAAATCATGAAATTTGCAGGTAAATGGTGGGACCTGGAAAGGATCATCCTGAGTGAGTTGTCCCAGAAGCAAAAAGACACACACGGTATATACTCATTCATATAAACATACAACATAGGATAAACCCATTAAAATCGGTACATCTAAACAAACTAAGCAAAAGAGAGGACCCTAACTAAAATGCTCAATCCCCATCCTGAAAGGCAAAGAGGATGGACATCTGAAGAAGAAGAAAAAAGGAAACAACCTAGGAACTTGCTACAGAGGGCCTCTGAAAGCCTCTGCCCTGCAGACTACCAAAGCAGATGCTGAGCCTGATGGCCAACTGATGGGCAGAGTGAATGGAATTTTAGGTAAGAAGTGGGAAATAGCAAGAGCTGGAGAAGACAGGAACTCCACAAGGGGAGCAACAGAACAAGAAAATTTGAACACAGGGAACTTCCCAGAGACTCATACTCCAACCAAGGACTATTCATGGAGATAACCTAGAACCCCTTCACAGATGTAGCCCATGGCAGTTCAGTGTCCAAGTGGGTTACCTAGTAATGGGAAGAGGGACTGCCTCTGATTGGCCTGCTCTTTGATTACCTCCCTCTAAGGGGAGGAGCAGCCTTACCGGGCCACAGAAGAGGACAATGCAGCCAATTTTGATGAGAACTGATAGACTAAGATCAGAAAGGAGAGGAGAATCTCCCCTATCAGTGGACTTGGGGAGGGGCATGTATGCAGAAAGGGGACGGAGGTTGGGATCGGGAGGGGGGGAGGGGCTTATGGGGGGATACAAAATGAATAAAGTGTAATTATTAAAATAATAATAATAATAAAGATTGGATTTAAAAAAAAAAAAGAAACTCAAGTGACAAGTTTACACTTCCATCAGCAATGGAGGAGGGTTCCCTTTTCTCCATAATCTCTCCAGCATGTGCTGTAATTTGAGTTTTTATCTTAGCCATTCTGATGGGTGTAAGGTAAAATCTCAGGGTCGTTTTGATTTGCATTTCCCTGATGACTAGTGATGATGAGCATTTCTTTAAGTGTATCTCTGCCATTCGATATTCCTTTATTGAGGACTCTCTGTTTAGGTCTGCAACCCATCTTTTAATTGGATTACTTAATTTGTTGCTGTTTAACTTCTTGAGTTCTTTATATATTCTGGATATCAGCCTCTGTCAGATACAGGATTGGTGAAGATACTTTCCCAATCAGTAAGCTGTCATTTTGTTCTGTTGACAGTGTTCTTTGCTTTACAGAGCTTTTCAGTTTCCTGAGATCCAATTTATTGACATTGGAAATCAATCTGGCACTTTCTCAGACAATTAAGTATAGTGCTTCCTCAAGATCCAGCTATACCACTCCTAAGCATAGATCTAAAAGATGCTCAAATATACAACAAGGACATTTGCTCAACCATGTTCATAGCAACTTTATTCATAATAGCCAGAACCTGAAAATAACCCAGATGCCCCTCAACTGAGGAATGGATACAGAAATTGTGGTACATTTACACAATGGAATACTACTCAGCAATTAAAAACAAGGAAATCATGAAATTTGTAGGGATTTGATGGGATCTAGAAAAGATCATCCTGAATTAAGGTATCCCCGAAGCAGAAAGACATACATGGTATATATACTCACTTGTAAGTGGATATTATACATATAAAGTAGGATAAACATACTGAAATCTGTACCCCTAAAGAAGCTAAGCAAGAAGGAGGACCCTGGATAAGATGACCAATCCTCACTCAGAAAGGCAAATGGGATGGATGTAGGAAGAGGGATAAAACAGGGAACAGGACAGGAGCCTACGACAGTGTCTGAAAGACTCTACCCAATAGGGTATCAAAGCAGATGCTGGGACTCATAGCCAAACTTTGGGCAGAGTGCAGAGAATCTTATGAAAGAAGAGGGAGACAGAATGACCTGGAGGGGACAGGAGCTCCACAAGGAGAACAACAGAACAAGAAATCTGGGCCCAGGGGTTTTTTTTGAGACTTATACACCAATCAAGGACCATGCATTAAAATAACCTAGAACTCCTACACAGATGTAGCCCATGGCAGCTCAGTATGAAAGTGGGTGTCCTAGTAAGGGAACAGGACTATATCTGACATGAACTCAGTGCTGGCTCTTTGATCACCTTCCCCTAATCCGGGAGCAGCCTTACTAGGCCAGGGAGGAAGACAAAGCAGCCAGTCCTGATGAGACCTTATAGGCTAGGGTCAGCTGGAGGTGGAAGAGGACTTCCCCTTTTAGTGGACTTGGAGAGGGGCATGGGATGAAATAAGGGAGGAAGGGTTAGATTGGGAGGGAATGATGGAGGTGGCTACAGCTGGGATATAAAGTGAATAAACTGTAATTAATATAAACATTTTTAAATAAAAATAAAATGTTGAGAAAAGCAGACTATTCTAGACTGAAACTGCACAATAGTGCACAAAACTGCATAATAGTGCATAGGTAGTTATGTAGTGCAGGAGAGAAAGTCCTTGGGGAAGTAAGAAAAGGAGTTCATTTGGGACTATATTAATTGTGACCCAACTATGTAAATTTCAAGTAAGCAAGGTAGTACCCAGGTCTAATTTCTAGAGAAGTGTGTGATCTAGCCTTGATTTGGTTAGGAAACAGTCTTGACTGTTCAAGAAGTTCAAGTAGATGACAGGCTATGTAGAATAAGCAAAATCTTTGGTGTCAGGCAGGTATTTATTAGCTCTTTGACTCAATTTTGAGCACTTGGTTTGACTTATCTGAACTTGGCTTTCTTCACCTATAAAACAGATACAGCAGCTACCTAACAGAATCAGTGATGGGGTAAGTATAGTTTATTTTTTACAAGACATTGGACTTAATATCAAAATGATGTATCCCTATCTGTGCTCTTACAAATAGGTACTCAACTCAGGGGGTCCAACTTCAAGCCCCTTCTAGAGAGCTATTCTGAAAAATGTGTCCACTTCTTATCTGCTTTATTCTTCATAGTTTGCCAAGCTTTAGCACTCAAAGTCAGGGCATTTCTTATGCTCTCACAGTTTTACCAAGATCTATCCATTTGTGCTTCTCTTGCATTTGGGCAAACAAAAGAGATTCTTGGAGTTTATTCTGAAAGTCAGGGTTGCTGTTTCTAAAATTTTCCAAGGTGGATATTGGGGTAGGGAAGGATTATGCACAGTTATTTTCAAAGAAAACAGTTCATGCACTGCAACAGAACCCAGGAGCTTGGAAAGCAGAAATCTTCTAGCTGTTCTAACTAAAGAGTAAGCAGCAAAAACAAAAAGAGGGGTTTTTTGTTTTCTATTTTTTTGTTTTTGTTTTCTGTTTTGCTTTTTGCTGGAAAGGGGCAGCTCCAGTTCCAGAACCACTGAGCTATGAATAAGCTTGGTTCTTTTTCCTGTATCCAAGTTCTCAGAAGACAAAACTGCTCCCAGAGCAGATTACTCACTTCATTTTTCTTAGTAAAAAAATGTATAGACATAAATTTTTTTTAGAAAAATTACACACCTATTTCTGGGCAAATTATTCAAAATTCTATAATGAAATCTACATAAGGAGCTGGGCAATGGTGCCACACACTTTAATCCCAGCACTTAGGAGGCAGAGGCAGGCAGATCTCTGAGTTTGAGGCCAGCTTGGTCTACGGAAGGAGTTCCAGAACAGCCAGAGCTACACAGAAAAAACTCTTTGTCTCAAAAATAACAGAAAAACAAAACAAACCACAAATCTCTGTAAGGAAACATAAAGACCCTCGTGCCCGTGAAGCACCCTTACCTTGGTCTTTATTCCTGGCAGTAAAGACCCTCGTGCCCATGAGGCACCCTTACCTTGGTCTTTATTCTTTGCAGTCTCTTGCGCTCAAGCCATCCCCTGATAAACGCTTGCATGACAGTGATCAGCCTAGTGATTTTTTTAGTCAATTGGCGTTTGTTTTTCTCCTGGAACACTTGGTAAATTTCAATGTGCGGTCCAATCCTTTTAACTTTTTTGTCTAATTTATCAGGCTTTACAACCGTCTTTAGCCTAAAAGTAAAATGTAAACTCTTTTTAGAGATAACTAGAAAAATAAACACACACACACACACACACACACACACACACACACACATTTTAGTACTGAGGAATAAAGCCAGGACTTCATGTACAAGCACTCTACCACTGGGCTATATCCCCAGCTTTATAAGGTTTTTTTTTGTTTTTTGTTTTTTGTTTTTTGTTTTTTGTAAATTCAAGACATGGTCTTACTAGGTTGCTCAAAGTGGGCTTGAACTCGCTGTATCCCTTGCAGATATTGAATTCAGGAACTTCCTTCCTTGACCTCCAGATAAGCTGGAATTACAGGCCTTTACTATTAGGTCAGCTTCCAATGACAAATATGCTGAAACAAGTAATGTACTATGACTTGTGCATAGAATTTAATTATAACTTCACTTAACTATGTTGATAAAGTTCTCAAAGACACTAGAACCAATATTACCATACACAACATTAAACTTCTAAGGGCAGAAAATCCAAGAAATTGAACCTTTCATGCTTAGTCACAACTATTCAAAGAAGGTAGGTGAGTCCAAGTAATTGTCATCCCCCCACAGTTTCTTAGAACTGCTACTCTGAATAATTCAGTTAGTCACTTACATGCCAAGCCAACATCATCTGCAAATTTCTTCTGAAGCTAGACCTGAGAGGGGCAGCAGTGCGACAAGCAAGGTCATGGACTACAGGGAAAGCCACAGAGGAATCGTACTAGAAACCATGTTGGGCCTTCAATACTAACATTAATAAACCTGCAGCAGTGATGATTGAGCACAGAAGAAAATGGTAGCTCTCTGTCATGAACATGTGTGTACTGTGGGGTATGTAGCCTTGGCAACTTTGTATCTACATGTTTTTTTTACATAGATATGTTTTTAATTTTTATTTTATTTTTATTAAATAAAGTTTATTCGCTTTGTATCCAAGCTGTAGCCTCCTCCCCATCCCCTTCCAATCCCCCCTCCCCTCCCCCCTCTTCTTCTCCCATGCCCCTCCCACAGTCCAATGATAGGGGAGGTTCTCCTCTTCCATCTGACCCTAGTCTATCAGGTCTCATCAGGATTGGAAGCATTGTCTTCCTCTGTGGACACTCCAACCAAGGACCATGCACGGAGATAACCTAGAACCCCTTCACAGATGAAGCCCACGGCACCTCAGTCTCCAAGTGAGTTCCCTAGTAATGGGAACAGGGACTGTCTCTTACATGAACTCATGGGCTGGCTCTTTGATCACCTCCACCTGAGGGGGGATAGGATTTATTTTAAAATGGTTATAATTTTCCTAGATAACAAAAGAGTTCCTGACACACACACACACACACACACACACACACACACACACACACAAAAACATTCATTTTATTAATGTTTGTAAATTATTTCTTTCCTTTTTGTGATTGATTTCTGTACAATTTGGTATCCCTGATATTTACCATAAATTATGCCTGAACTATTTTTTACTTTGTAAAAGAGAAGCTACAAGTCCTTCCTAGGGTGATATTATAAAGTCATGAAGTTTGTCACTGCCCTTTGGGTCCAGGTGGCATATGGCTACATTCCTTGGGAATTAATGTAGCAACAGTGGTTACTGGGGATTCCTGCTGAACATAGCTGGTACCACTCATTCAAATCTCCAAAAGGCCATCCAGCCTTTCCTTCACACTTTCCCATATGCCCTTCAATAAAGTACAAACAGGTCATCAATTGTGTTTTCTGAAAGAAATATCAGAAGTATGACAGTTTTATGAACACTGTATTTTGTTAACAATTTATCACAGAAAGAAAGGGCTTATGGGTGCAGGCTTCGCAGGTCAAAGCTGTTGGCACAACTATGCATCTGCCAGATGAGGCAAACATCAGGATGATTTCTCATGCGGAAGCAGAAGCTTCTTAACCCAAGAGCACACCATGATCATTAATTTGTAATCCCTATTTTTCTTCTAGCAAAGTTTGAGCAAACCCCTTGAAGCCCTACATATAGTCTTCAGTTGTACACACTAGAATGAATAGTTTCTAAGTAATACAGAAATTTTTCCAACTATCCTGTCAGTGTTCAAGAAAACAAATTTCTAATGGAATTTTGAATATATTGTAAGTTACAGAATCTACAGATAATATGTTAATAGAAATTATGAATACATGCTAATCTACTTATTCTGTGAAATAAGTTAAATATGTAAAATACTTTTACGGAGTATTTTTATGTTTTATTGTATCAATATTTCTAAATTTTCAATAAGAATCATGGCTGGGTGTGGTGTCACTGCTTGAGATCTCAGAATTTAGGAATTCGAAGGAGGAGCAGGAGTTCAAGGCTAGCTTAGGCTACATAGGAAGTTTGAGTCCAGCCCAGGGTACCAGAGACTAGTAGTAAATTGAAAAGAGGTAACAGCTAGAGAGGAAAGGCATGCATGGGAAGGTGGTGTAGGTGGGCGTGAATGCGAACAAAGGATAATGACATGCACATATGAAAATGACATGCTGAAACCCATTACTTTGTATGCTTTTCTAAAAAATACATCTAAAAAAATAATGAGAAAGTAAAAGATGGATCAGCTTCCTTCCAGAAAGAAGTTGCTGATGCCTTAGTCAGTTCATTTGATGTAACCTTTCTCGGCATATACGTTTCTGTGTTTAATACATTCCTTGTCCTTCATGTGTTGATTAAATTGGTCTGATACAGTAGTATTAAAGCACGAGTTGCTGAACAGAACTATGTGCTCCCAAACTGTGCCTGTGAATGAATCTTCACCTACAGGCTGATGTATATCCATAAAATAACTGGAATTTTGAACTCTTTTCTGTAAACTGTGACTGAATCCATAACATTGCTTTTAACTCATTCAGTGCTAAATTCATAACCCTAGATATAAATTCAAACTTCTGTTAGCCATTTAGCTGCTGACCACCTAACACAAGAATAACATATGCACAAGCAAAAGAAATTAGCTACCTTCTTTCACATACCTCAAATTTATACCCATTTCCTGCATGAAAATTAATAGCTATTTTTTAAGTTTCTGGTATCCGAATCTGTCTTCACAAAACTGTGTTTAATTCAATCCCTCCCCGCAAAAAAAAATTGTATCTCTAGGAAATTAGATAATACCCTCATAGAACCAAACATAAAGTGTACTGTCTCACTACATATCCTGATTTAGGAATAATAATTTCTAAGCCTGGTTTGTGATAACCAAATAGAATGCATTTTGAACATGTTATGTTCTCAAATAAAGTTTTTATTGTCATTAAATAAAACATTAATTTTATGAAAAACATAAGGAAAAACGTTCCAACAACAACTTTGTTTAAAGTAGAAATAATATGGCATCATTTTTTCATTTTAGTCTCTTTTAGTTCTGGTTAAGAAAGAGAAACCTGGACACCAACCATCCACGAAACCCCCGACCTACAACCTGTGCTGTCTGCAAGATTTGCTGGAGCAATGGGGCGCAGAACTTTTAAGAGGGGCCAACCAATGTCTGGGCTAACTTGAGGCCTATACCATGACAGGGAGCCCATGGCTCATACCTCCTGAATAGCCAGGAACAAGGATACTAGATAGCTCAGAGACCTGGTGTAGAACCAATTATGGTTGGAAAAAAAAAAAATCCTATTCTGCTAAACTTATTAGAACATCCCAACTGTTTGATTTTACCAATGAAGACTCAAGAGCCAGATGCTGGTGTAAAAACCTGCAAGCTTAGAGAGGCTGATAAAGTACAAGCTGACCTTCCTACTCAGCTCATGTTTCGAAGAAAAAAAGTCAAATACCAAAAGGTATAAGCCCAAGGATTTTATGTAATAGTGTGAGAAAAGTCTCATAACTTCAAATTTTGACGTTAGGAGAATAAAGATATCAAACTACATGTATTAATGCTTGTAACTCTTGTATAAAATGCATGTAAGCAGGAGTAGGAAGCAACATGCCAAAATATCTCTGCAGTCGATTACCAGTGTTCCTAAATCACGGGTGGGCTGGACTCCGACAGAAGAACTGCGACCTTGCGTGATTCTGGCTCAGTCTCCAAAACCTGGTGCAAATATTCCATTAATCTCTAGACTGCAAAGAAAGCACTGTGTTGTTAAGGAAAGTTGGTTGTTATTTTTTTTCTTTTAATTTTGTCAGCTCTTTTGAAATAGGCCTGTATACAATATATATTTTCAAGGACAATATACACTTATTTACATATTTAACACTTACCAATAGTCACTTTCTTTAAGCCTCAGCTTTACAATTTCTCCTTTAATCATTAAAATAGTTATCTCAAGTGAACTTGATATTCTAATTTTGAGAGAAATCCTGTGACCTTCTAACCTTGCAAAGATAAAATCCAATGTCCTTCTGCTTTGAGTGATAAAAATCACAGGAGAAAAAGGTATACTTGCCTACAGAAAGGTTAGTATTTATTTCAGTTTTTATTCGATTTTTTTAGTGTTCATAGCACATGAAAGATGCAGTCACATCACACATACATGTGACAGTATTTCAGGGTCTGAGAAAAGGAGAAGAGCAGATGATTATGGATACTTGTCCTGTGGCCATCAGATGTACAGAGGTCAGAGGACCCCATAAGTTAGTGAATCCATAGAAACCAGCCTTGTTTTTTTCCCTCTAAATAAAATTTTGAAATTTATCTCTGTTCATTATGTCTCGACAAAACTGTGATAAAAGGAGAAATGACACTTTCCATGGAGATCCTTGCCTGCCAAAGTCTCTATAACTATCCTTACAACAGTAAAAATGTGAGTAATTAGGGGCTAACTATAAACCAGATGCCGCCGTGAGAAGCTGCCCTGTTTGTCTGCGCGTATCCCTACAATCTACCCTCGTTATGAGAAAGTGGAAAGAACAAAGAGCCATGGCTGCACTTGGATTTTTCACTTCAAGTTGACAAATACATAATCAAAGTATCACATCAAATGTGTTTCAGAGACAGAAGTAATCATTAAGTAAAATTACATGTGAGAAAAGATACAAGAAATTAATTA